TAGTTAAATGTATTTCTGTCCAAACTGAAAGGACGGAAGACGATTCGCGCTCACTTTAAGAAATCCTACGAATCCGCCATTTTCGTGTCCTCCTAAAATGACGCTTCGGCTCGCAAGGTACGGCGGTTGGTTATGATTCTTTAAAAAGATATAATTGGATTGAGTTTAAAACGATAATTATAATGGTTATGTTTGAAGTCTATGCTTCACTTTTCAAAGGGATATAAATGGATGAATTAACGATAGATTGAACACTTGGAAGAAATTGTACTAATTTGTTGGCACTATTAAAAGTTTTATACTTAAATTATCTGATGAAGGATATCCAGTTTTAACCGCTGCGAAGAGCTTGATTCCACTTGTTTGCCTTCAAGCCATTGGCTTTTGGCCTTAGTTTATTTTATGTTAGAGTGATCGCACTTAAAGCGTGCAACTGTACAAAATCTAAGTAGTATTAATATGTACTAAAAGTGGACCTGAAGCAAGACGGTATTGAATGCTTCATTTGGATCAATTCAATTTAATTTGCGTAACGCATGTACGATTTACTAAATACACTTAATAGAACTACAGTTGCAAGGATTAAGTGCGATCACTCTAAGCAATTGGTCCACTGCAACGGCACTGCAAAGCGCCACTGCTAAACGGCACTGAAAGCMCTTGATTTCTCTTGCACCATTTTTTAAACTCGGTTGTATGTTACACAAACGGTTGTTTTGATACCTCTGAACTAGTTGCTTAAATAAARGCTCTCTCACTCTTTYCAATGAATTCAAAGTACACACAAAATCGCGTGTATAAATACGATTTTTTAGGTAGGTTTTGCGAAGATTTAACTATTTTTCCTAGTTTTTTCCTAGTTTTTGTAAGTACAAAGCACACGGCCAATAACGGCTTTTAACACGAGTATACATTGAAACTGCTTAGCGTGTTTGTAAGGACTGTTGCCGGAGCAACCTGTTTAAAACCTTGATAGTACAAAACGTGAAACAGAGTTAATGTTTACAGCTCCCGCTGGTCTGAAGGCGCCTTCCGTCCTTCCGTATGTATGCCACCACAGGAYACCCACTCTCCTCTCGAAAAAAGCTCCAAAATATTGCATTTGAATATATATCTTCGAAATTGATAATATTAGAAAATAAATCAATTGCTACCACAAGATAAAGGAGAGCGAAATCAGAGCACTAAAAGATGCCCACCAATTGTGTCAACTACGACGCGTTTGCACATCCGGGAAGCGATTTGCGAAAGATGAAAAGCAATTTAATTCAGTAAAGGGACATGGTCCACCAACATACAATTCGGTCGTCTTTTAGATTTTTCATATTTCAAAAATGAGGTGGCAATCCTTTTCCATCCATCGGTTTAAAGGTCGAATCTTGCAATACCCATCATAGTGTATAGAGGAATAATATATAAAGAGWAAGTTTTTGCTTATATTACGATGTATTGTTATTTTCAAACATGAGCAAAAGTTCGAAAGGGATGCTGGTGGACCATGTCCCTTTAAGCGTTTCGAGGCAAAAAGAAAAACTAGATGACATTTTTGCTTTC